AATGCTATACCTAAATCACAAATCAACTATAAGAATAAAAGTCATTATTTTTTACTGTTCAGCTATGAGCAATACTTATAGTGATAGTAATGTAAATATGGAATTCTAATATAACCATTTGGTTGGAGAAGGGAGAGATGGAGAAGTATCTAAGATCCCCAGGGGATGCTTAAAACCACAGATAGTACCAAATCCTATATATACTCTCTCTCTCTATATATATATATATATTTTTTTATGTATATACATACCTATGGTAAAGTTTAATTTATAAATTAGGCAGAGTAAGAGATTAACAACAGTAACTAATGATAAAATAGAATAATTAGAACAATAAGCCAACATCACTACTCTTACAATTTGGGGTCACTGAGTAAAATAAGGGTTACTTGAACACAAGCACTGCGATATTGCAACATTTACTCTGATAACCAAGTCAATTAACTGCTATGTGACTAACAGGTAACCGAGGCAGGTGGCATACACAGCTTGCAGATGCTGGACAAATGAATAATTCATTTGCCAGGTGGAATGGAACGCGATGGTGCAAGACTTCATCATGCTCCTCATAACGGCCCACAATTTCAAATGGATAAATTACTTATTTCTGGAATTTCCCATTTCGATATTTCCAGACTGTGATTGACTGCAGTTTAACAGAAACTGTGGAAAGCGAAACTGTGAATAAGGGAGGACTAGTATGCTTGTGCTCACTCAAGCCTGAGTGTGCTGCTGGTGGTAGAATTGTGTGAAACCCTTCCACAGCATAAGTCAATAGTTTGCTTCTAAGGAATGGGGCTCAAGTTGAGGAGGAATGAGACAGATGGCTTCTAACTTTCTTTAAACTGAAGAGTTTTCTGACTTTGAAAAACATATACGTATTGCTTTCATAAAAGTAAAAACAAAATTTAAAAAGAGAGCCTGTAGAAGCTCATGTTAGAGGAAGCCCTCTGCAATTAGGTCTTCCTCCCCACAGCATGAACATCCTCAGGGCTGGGATGGGTTCTGTGGTGTCACACTGAGCATTTAAAATTATGTTTTAAAACCACCTTTACATGGTATTGATAGTTTCATTTTCTTTACTTGTTTCAAAAATTTATCATTGGTAAAATTATCAATCCTTTCCATCCACAGCCACAATTTCGCATACGGTAAAAAAGATTTGTTTTAAATACTATGCACTCCATTTTTATTGGAAACCATAGTTCCCAGCAATCTTTTTTCTTTTAGATCTGTTCCAACAAATTGCTTAAACATATTTTTTTACATGTGAGATGAGTGACTCCCAGGAAAAAAAAATTTTTTGCTCTTCAACATAACAAGATAAAACTCTATAATACTGGAATTAACATAATTTAAGCATCACCACTGAAGTAATTTAAATATATATTAAGTTCTCAGTTAACTGCAGCCCACTTTCTATTCTTAGAGAAAGGCCTGAAGCCTGACCATCTGAAGTCAGAAAGAAGGCCCTCACCAGAATCAAGCCATGCCAGTACCCTGATCCTGGACTTCTGGGCCCCAGAACAGTGAAAAAATTGAAGTGAGAAGCTACCCAGTCTATGGCATTTTGTTACAGCAGCCTGAGCTGACTAATACACTGATTCATGTGTGAGGTGTTTCTATTGTGGTGTTCATAACATATACCTAGTACTGGATATTGACAAACACTTGTCAAATTGATATTGGATAAAGCAAACAAAAACTCTAGTAAGAACAATTTTTGCAGGCATCAAAATCTACTTTGCTATGTGGCACTTTTTTTCTTGTACTAAAAGGAAATTAACATAATTGTGGAAAACTAGAAGACACAACATATTCCCTACATTACTGTGAAAATACTGGCTAAATTATTTATAAAAATACACATATCCCTCATATCAGGAATTGCAAGAATATGATAATGTTAAAGCTATTTAACTATTTAGAAAACATTTGTTGATTGACAGAACTGTAAAGATAAGAGGATCCTTTTCCTCAGTCTACTGGAGGAGACAGAAAAGAAACTACAGTGGTGATATGACCCATGGAGATGGGTCACAGATGGTTTATGGGAAAGGGCAATGCCAGAGGTAGGTCTTAACTGACAGGCTGAGGAGCTAGCCGATTAAAGAAAGGAGTTACGTCAAGGTCACTGATGAGTAAAGGCTCAGCAGTGGTAAAAATGGTACACAGGATAAATACTGGGAAAGGATAAAAGAGAAGGAGGAGGAAAGGTACTTTATGGTGAGCTTGTAAATCATGTGAGAGTGTTGAGGTTTATATTGAAGGCTATAGATATTGAAGAACTGAAGAATTTCAAACCACTGAAGGACATGCTCAGCTTCACCTAAGAGAAGCAAAACTGGAGGATAACCAGTAAGGAGTTTCCTATAAAAATCTATATTTGCTTATCTAAAACCCAAATTAAAAAATAAAAAACAAAGAAAATCTAGGCAACAGGAAAGCACCTATATAAACTATATTTAATACATATTTAAAATATTTTAAACTTCTATTTTAAAATGTATTTAGATATTTTTAAACAACAGCTTATCAACTTAAGACAAGCCAACGTAGTGTCTTCCCTTAGTTTGGGGACCAAATTCAAAACACATGCGTGGGCAAAATATTTCTATGCTGCCTCTGTAGAAAAGACAATATGTGGAAGACAAAGTTCTAGAGGGAAAAGTATTAGTATTTCTGGACCATTCTAACAGTTTGTAGCAGTTTTTTTTTTTTTTTTTTTTTTTGAGATGGAAATTTTCCTCTTGTTGCCCAGGCTGGAGTGCAATGGCGTCAACGCAACCACCACCTCCAGGGTACAAGTGATTCTCCTGCCTCAGCCTCCTGAGTAGCTGGGATTACAGGCACCCACCACCATACCCTGCTAATTTCTGTATTTTTAGTAGAGACAGGATTTCACCATGTTGTCCAGGGTGGTCTCAAACTCATGACCTCAAGTGGTCTGCCCACCTTGGCTTCCCAAAGTGCCAGGATTACAGGTGTGAGCCACCGTGCCCAGCCTCTACTTTTAAAATATCTTCTGATCTACGTAAGATTCCTAGGGCTACCATAACAAAGCAGCACAAACTGGGTGGCTTAACATAAATTTTCTTGTAATTCTGGAGGCTAAAAGTCTGAAATCAAGGCGTGAGCAGGGTTGGTTCCTTCTGGGGGCTTTGAAGGATAATCTCATCCATGCCTCTCTCTTAACATCCAGAAGTTGCTGGAAATCCTTGGTATACCTTGTCTAATACATGCATCACTCCAATTTCTGCCTCGGTTGTCACATGGTCTTCTGTGTGTGCATCTGTGTGTTTCCAAATCTCTCTTTTTTTATGAGTGCACCAGTCATTGGATCTAACGCCCAGCCTAACCCAGTACTGTATGATCTTATCTTAACTTGATGACATCTGCAAAGAGACCCTGTTTCCAAACAAGGTCACCTTCATAGGTATCAAGGGTTAGGAATTCAACACATCTTTTTGAAGGACACAGTTCAACCCCCAACTTGATCTCTTCTACTTTCCTGTGTAGCAGTGAACAGATGAACACTGGAAGATGAAGTTTGAATCCTAGCTCCACCACTTTCTACCTTCGACCTGTGGGTTCTTAGGAAAGCCACCTACTCTTTGTGCTTCTCGTTTCCCACTGGAAAATGGGGATGAAAAAAGAAACTATCCCATAGAGTTGCTGTGAAGGCTATACCAGTTAATACATGTAAAACACTTGATAAAGATCCTGCATGTAAGTGCTATATAAGTATGGGTTATCATTATTATTGTTGTTAAACCCACTTGTATCTACTTGTCCTATTTAGAATGGCTCTTCCCACATCCACTGCTTTCCCTTCCAATCTTTCCTCCATATTGTTGCCAGAAGGATCTTGCAAATAACACAAATCTGGTCATGTCACTGTCTTGTTTAAGACCCTGTTCTCACCTGCCTCAGAGTTTTCACACCAGGTCTACACCGCTTAAAGCTCTCCTCACCCTTCCAACTTCTCCCAACCCTTCACCTTCACCGAGTTAATGTTTACTCATGTATCAGATTTCAGGTTAGACACACTTCCTCCAAGAAGCTTTCGCAGATTCACAAGGTAGTATCTGCCTGCACTTCGCTTTCTTACATAATACTCTCTATACTTGTTACTTGTTCAGTTTTTATTTAGATTAACTTCCAACAGAAAGGCAGAGTAGTTGCTGTACCTGGCACATACTTTGTGCTCAATAAATCTCTTTTGAAGGAATCAATGAAATGAATCAATCTTGCTCCTGGCTTTACGTTTCAGTGATTCAAATGGACATACTTCGCACACAACGTTAGGTCCTGGGAGGTATAACTTGTGTTGTGATTTCTGAATTTCTAAATTCTAGCAGAGTTTTTGGCATATTGCATGCACCCAATAGGATATCTGAATAAACTTTCTTGGAACACGAGTGGCTGGATGTCCTGATAACTCCAACACGTTCCCTTCCCATAATTCCTAAAACCCAGGAACACTTACTGCCTTCCATCAGTTAGTGAACTACTGATGCTCCAAAATGAGCCAACCCTCCTTCTCCTCCACCCCCAACTCTTAACCCAAAACTCAGACCCCAGGTTTTCGACAATTAATAGTAGTCGTCACAGGACCGCGCCACTGCACTCCAGCCTGGGCAACAGAGCGAGATTCTGTCTCAAAAAAAAAAAAAAGGAAGAAAGAAAGAAAGAAAAGAAAAGAAAGTAGTCACAGGAAACTGCGATTAAATTACTAACCTGAAGGAATCGCAAGCAGAGGCGCCCTGGCTGACCTCCGTATCCCTCCACCCCAACCCCCTGGGCCCTGTACGGCGGGTATCTGTGGAATAGTTTCCCGGCTGTTGATCTCAAATCTGATGAGAGGAGGAAAGGCTCTCCTTCCACTCCGAGCCGAACTAGCCTTCCGCTGTTCATCAGTCCCGGGCAGTGGTGTCCCCTCACGCGGCCTCACTCGGGTCCGCGTGCTGCCCCAGTCCGCGCCCCGCGGCCCCACTCACTGTTCTTGAGGAATCGCTCTTCGTGCAGCACAGCGATGGCGTTAACGCACAGCAGGGCTGCCTGCAGCAGTGAATACAAGGTAAAGGCCATGGCGGTCCGGAGCCGCCCGGAAGTCCGAGTGATTTCTCTCCAGCTGCCGCAAGGGACGTGGCGCCTCCGCGGCTGGCGCCTTCCTACGGAAGCCGATGGAGCCCAGACGAACTCTCCGGGAAGCCCCGCCCCATCTTGCTAAGAACTGCCCCTCGCTGAAGACTGCAAGTCCTGTCGCTTGTCTAGACTGGTGCTGTGCAGTCAATGCACTGGTGTGGCCAGTGCTGCAGCTGCAAAATACGTACCGGATTTCACACACTTGGAACTAGAACAAGGATGAAGATAGCCCAATTAATTTTAAATGTTGATAACATGTTGAAATGAAAATATTTTGAGACCGGGCCTGGTAGCTCATGCCTGTAATTCCAGCACTTTGGGAGACTGAGGCGGGCAAATCACCTGAGGTCAGGAGTTCGAAACCAGCCTGGTTAGTATGGCAAAACCCTGTCTATACTAAAAATACAAAAATTAGCCGGGTGTGGTGGTGGGCGCCTGTAATCCCAGTTACTCGGGAGACTGACAGGAGAATCGCTTGAGCCTGGGAGGTGGAGGCTGCAGTGAGCCAAGATCGTGCCACTGCACTCCAGCCTGGGCGACAGAGCAAGACTCTGTCTCAAAAGAAAAGAAAAGAAAAGAAAGAAAATATTTTGAATATATTGAGTTAAAATATGTTACCAACATTAATATTTTCTGTTTATTTTTAATTCTTTTCTTTAATGTGGCTATAAAGATATTGTAAATGACATGTGAGGCTTGCATTATATTTCTATTGCTCAGCACTGCATTTGATCCCAGGAGATGTAGGAGATATTAATATCCCCATTTTACAGATGAGAGAACAAAGGCTTTGACAAAGATTTAAGAATGTTAAAACAAAATACCTGTTTTAAAATTAATCAGTAAGAAACATCCCCTCCTTGACCAAACTCCAACCCAGATCCTCTTTTTTTTTTACAGAGACAAGGTCTTGCTCTGTGGCCTAGGCTGGAGTGCAGTAGCACCATCATGACTCCATGCAGCCTTCAACTCCTGGCTCAGGCAGTCCTCCTGCCTTAGACTCCTGCTTAGCTGTATGTGATGGTTGAGACTAAGCGTTAACTTTATTGGATTGAAGGATGCAATGTATTGATCCTAGGTGTGTCTGTGAGGGTATTACCAAAGGAGATTAACAGTTGAGTCAGTGGATCGGGAAAGGCAGCTCCACCCTTAATCCAAGTGGGCACCATCTAATCAGCTGATGGAGTGGCCAGGATATAAAGCAGGCAGAAAACGTGAAAAGGGTAGATTGGCTTAGCCTCCAAGCCTACATCTTTCTCCCATACGGGATGCTTCCTACCCTTGAACATTGGACTCCAAGTTCTTCAGCTTTGGGATTTAGACTGGCCTCCTTGCTCCTCAGCTTGCAGACAGCCTATTGTGGGACTCTGTGATCAATCATGTGAGTTAATACTACCTAAAAAACACCCCCTTTATATATACATATAAAGTTGACAGTCTTTATATATATACATGTATATGTCCTATTAGTTCTGTCCATCTAGAGAACCCTGACTAATACACTGTATTACAGGAATGGGTCATCCCGCCAGGCTGAGCCCTCTTCTTGACCATGCGCCTCAATGTTGGCTTCTTAAAAACTACCAATTCTCAGCATGGGCTACATGGCAAGATCCCTTCTCTACCAAAAATACAAAACACACAAACAAAAAACAGCTGGGCTTAGTAGTGTACACCTGTGGTCCCACTACTAGGGGAGGCTGAGGCGGGAGGATCACTTGCACCTGGGGGATGAAGGTTGCAGTGAGCTGAGATTGAGCCACTGCATTCCAGCTTGGGTGACAAAACGAGACTCTGTCAAAAACACAACAAAAAATAAAAAAAGAAAAAAAAATCACTACAGATTCTCAACACAAATGATATGCATATTGTGTATCTTCTTTACCTCAACACTAAAGCACTTAAATACTAACACAGTTTCTATTAAAAATTTCATTTATTTATTTATTTAGAGACAGAGTCTTGATCTGTTGCTCAGTGCAGTGGCGTGATCTTGGCTCACTGCAACCTCTGCCTCCCAGGTTCAAGTGATTCTCCTGCCTAAGCCTCTCGAGCAGCTGGGATTATAGGCACACGCCATTACACCTGGCTAATTTTTTGTATTTTCAGGAAAGACGGGGTTTCACTGTGTTCACCAGGATGGTCTTGACTTTCTGACGTCGTGATCTGCATGCCTTGGCCTCGCAAAGTGCTGGGATTACAGGTATGAGCCGCCGCCGGGCCAAATACTAACAATTTCTAACAGCTCTCTGTTGCATCCAGTTGCTACTGTTGCTTTTTGTCTGAAAACGCTTCAGGCTGCCAAAAAATGTACTGTTTGTTTTAGCCAACACCTGACAACAGGCCCACCTTCTGTTCTTAGAGCATTTACTAAAGAGGGCTTACAATTGTGAATCCTTCTCCTGTCCCTTTGAGATGTACATGTTTCTCCTACAACTCAGAAGCATCTTTCCCAAGGACTTAAAACCCATTCCTTTAAAATGTAATCCCATCAGGAAGGTTTAGAGGCTCTGTCCCCCAGTCTCTATGGGAAGACAGCCAATAGACACAGCTGGTCTAACTGAGCTGACCAATTCTTTGTTGTTTCTCACTTCCCTGTCTGTACTGAGACACCACTCATCCTCCTTCCTACTCCTTCATTCTCCCTTTCAAACACTCTGTCAGCTGGGCTCACACCTGTAATCCCAGCACTTTGGGAAGCCCATGCGAGAGGATTTCTTGAGCCCAGGAGTGGTGGCACGTGCTTGTGGTACCAAGCTACTCAGCTGTGTCACCTGTGTACAAATTGAAGTTGCGTTCAGTTTATACTAAAACCTCTTTCCTATTGCAACAGTATATTACTAATTAAAATCTGTCCTTACCAGTTTAAGTAGTATCTGGCTTTGTTTATCTTTGACAGCATTATTAAGAGGCTGAGTTAGAACATGTTGAATTTTAGATGTTATTTCAGAGCAAGCATGCAAAATAATCACTTCCTGAACCTCAAAGAGTGCCCTAAGATAAAAGAGGGAAAAACACTCCATTAAGTCCCAGAAAGGACTTTGGAAGTCCCTGAGTCACTACTGCTGGAAAAGACACTAACCAAAAGAAAAGAATAATTAGTTAACTCCCAAGATATTAAGCCTACATAAGTCAACTAGTTTATGCCTACAGAAGAGATGTATTATTTCCCAAACTCCATCTCTAAAACCTAGCCCTAAGTGCAAGTCAGATAGACAAAGACACATAAAGATAAAATAAAGGGATAAAGGAAACAACAGGATACCAAAAAATCCTGCTGTTCTTCAAGGCCCATAAAACTCTAAACGCTGGCAATGGTGAATGTCTTAGCCTGTTCAAGCTACTATAACAAAATACCATAGGCTGGGTGGCTTATAAACAACAAAAATTTATTGCTTACAGTTGTGCAGGCTGGTAGCATGATGAGATTCTGGTGAGGGATGCAAATTGCTGCTTCTTGTTGTATTCTTACCTAGAGGAGAAAGAGGAAGTGAAGTCTTTCAGGACAATTAGAAAGACACTAATCCCATTTATGAGGGCTCCACCCTCATGACCTAATCTAATCCTAATTGGCTCCAAAAGATCACACCCCATAGTACACATTTAGTAGGTAGGGATATAACTTATGAATTTTAAGAAAACACAAGTATTCTGCTGTAACAGTGAAGAAAATTTATTTCTGAGAGTGGAAAGTAGCCATTTTAGGATTTCTACATTGGGCTGTGATATTGTTTTGCTGCATCCCCACCCAAATCTCAACTTGAATTGTGTCTCCCAGAATTCCCACGTGTTGTTCCAGGGACCCAGGGGGAGGTTATTGAATCATGGGGACTGGTCTTCCCCGTGCTATTCTTGTGATAGTGAATAAGCCTTGTGAGATCTGATGGGTTTGTCAGGGGTTTCCACTTTGGCTTCTTCCTTATTTTTCTCTTGCCACCACCATGTAAGAAGTTCCTTTTGCCTCTTGCCATGTTTCTGAGGCCTCCCCAGCCATGTGGAATTGTAAGTCCATTAAATCTCTTTTTCTTTCTAGTTTTGGGTATATATAAATATATATATATATATATATTATTGCACTTTAGGTTCTGGGGTATATGCAGGATTGTTGCATAGGTACATACATGGCAGTGTGGTTTGCTCCCTCCACCCCCCCGTCACCTATATCTGGCATTTCTCCCCATGTTATCCCTCCCAAACCTCCCTACTCCCCACTGTCCCTCCCCTATTCCCCCCTCACAGACCCCAGTGTGTGATGCTCCCCTCTGTGTCCATATATTCTCATTGTTCAACACCTGCCTATGAGTGAGAACATGTAGTGTTTGTTTTTCTGTTCTTGTGTCAGTTTGCTGAGAATGATGGTTTCCAGATTCATCCATGCCCCTACAAAGGACACAAACTCATCTTTTTTGTGGCTGCATAGTATTCCATGGTGTATATGTGCCACATTTTCCTTGTCCAGTCTATCATCAATGGGCAGTTGGGTTGGTTCCAGGTCTTTGCTGTTGTAAACACTGCTGCAATGAACATAGTATGCATGTGTCTTTATAATATAATGATTTATAATCCTTTGGATATATACTCAGTAATGGGATTGCTGGGTTAAATGCAATTTCTATTTCTGGGTCTTTGAGGAATTGCCAAACTGTCTTCCACAATGGTTGAACTTGTTTACACTCCCACCAACAGTGTAAAAGTGTTCCTATTTCTCCACATCCTCTCCAGCATCTGTTGTCTCCAGGTTTTTTAATGATCACCATTCTAACTGGCAAAAGGTGGTATCTCAATATGGTTTTGATTTGCATTTCTCTAATGACTAGTGATGATGAGCATGTTTTCATATGTTTGTTGGCCTCATAAATGTCTTCTTTTGAAAAGTGTCTGTTCATGTCCTTCACCTACTTCTGGATGAGTTTTTTTCTTGTAAATCTATTTTAGTTATTTGTAGATTCTGTATATTAGTTCTTTGTCAGATGGGTAGATTGCAAGGTTTTTTTCCACATTCTGTTGGTTGCTGGTTCACTCTAATGATTATTTCTTTTGCTGTGCAGAAGCTCTGGAGT